ACGACCGTCGAGCGTTGGTTTGCTCCTGTATGGAGTGTGTATGCTTCTTCATGTATACGACATTGTCCGTCCCGTTTTAATAGCCTCTCTCATTTGTTTTAGGGTAATATAAATGTGCACATTGCACGTTGGCAATACATACAAATTAATGGTACAGTGGCTGTTACTTAACCGTGAAAATGTCATCTTGCATTCGGCCAGGTGCAGGAGCCTGGTCCAATTGTTGCAATATTTAGGGTTTCAACTGAAATTAAGGCATGTTGCTATCGAGTGGGTGTCGCGACGATTGTGGACGCTCGCCGAGCGTCAGCATTTAGTGAGGCGCCCACCGATCCTTCTCTGCCAGCGCTGTCTCTGTGTTTGAAACGAAAGGAGAGGGAGGGGTGGAAGGGATGACAGCGACATGGAGGGGTACGACCGTGAGTGGGAACGATGGTAACGCGTGGAGAATAGGTGGCCCACGGGCATGGCGTGCTAACGGCCAGGGAGGAGTGTTGAGTGTCGTGGGACGGGATATTGTTGGGTTTACGGTTACTAGGTGCTATGCCTCAACACTGACATTCACGGGTTGGGAGGGAATATGGTCACACAAGCCGTTCGTCCCTGCATCTTACGCCGTTTAGCGCTTCCTTACCCAGTCGGTGCCACGAGACGCTCTCCACGGGTGAATGTGTCGATAGGCACAGTATCTACATTGTACTACGCCAACCTCATCACATACGAGCCCATCCCATTCCGTCCCTTCCCATCCCATCCCTGCCCTCCCTTGCCCTGCCCTTCCCTCCGGATCCGGTCCCATACCATCCCATCCCATCCCATCCCTAGCCATCCCAGCCCTACCCTGCCCATCTAGTCCAATCCCTTCCTATCCCTACCTTTCCAATCCCATCGGAGGTCATCCCTTTACATCTCACGCCATTCTCCCGCTCGCCACTCCACCCCGCCCAACAACTTTACACCCCGTCTATGTTATGTTCTTACCATGTACGGTCTCGCGCATTCTCCTTATCACTCGCATCAGCTCCACGTTGCCCTCCTTCACAGGAAGCCCGCCTCCACCACCTCCGCCGCCTCCGCTCCCTCCGCCACCGCCGCCGCCTCCTCCGCCTCCACTGCTGCCTTCGACACCTCCACCCCCGCCACCACTCCCACCACCACCCCCACCCCTCCACTGCCTCCACCACCACCTCCACCGCCCCCGCCAGCCCCTCCAGCGCCCTTGCCCCCTTGCCCTTGCCGGTACGGCGTCTCCCGCTAGGGGTAGACGCAGCGCCGACCGACTCGAAACCAACGAGGTCGGCCGCAGCAGCAGAAGCAACAGAGGGCAAGAGGGGGAAGGGGAACACCCCTCAAAGACGGGGTGCGAGGGTCACCACGAGAGGCTCCTACAGCGACTATGCTCTTCTCTGCTGCTAGGAGGCGCTCCTCGAGGAGGTCAACGGTGAGTGTGGTGGGGCAAACTGAGAGGAAGTGGTCCCTGACTAAGCGAAGGGAGTCAGGGAGCCGGGTGACTATGTAGTAGAGGGTGATGTACATGGGGGGGGGGGTCTTGGCACAGAAGTCAGCAGGAAGCGCAGCGCGGTAGCGAGTGTCACTAGTGCGGAGGTGTGTAATGAGGTCAGCGACTGTGGGAAAGGCAGCAAGGTCAAGGAAGAGGTACGGTAGCATGAGGCGGCTCATTGCAGCAGTTGCAGGGGAAGAGTAGCGTGCAACTACAGCGTCGTACAAGGTCTGAGCACTCTTTTAGTGGCTAAAGTGCGCACGCTCAGTGGTCGGTAAGTGGCGACGCACAGCAAGACGGGCAGCAGCATCGCGTGTGGCCCACTGTGAGCGAACAGTGCTGTAAGCAGTAGGAGGCGGGGCAGGGGAGGCACCAGAGGAGAGATCAAACAGGGAGAGTCCGTCTGCCCTATCGCACTGGAGGAACAGCTGGAGGTCATCGACCCGGACCTCAAAGTC